TGCTGTCGCCCTTCGTGGCCCTCTCGCTGCCCTTTGTGGCCCCTTTGCTGCTTTCAGTGGCCCCGTCTCTGCCCTCTGTGGCCTCGGATGTTATGCCCTTCGTGGCCCACGCTGGCTTTTCTCACGGTTTACTTGGGAATCGCGCTATCGCTCGAGACTTCCTCGCGATTCATGCAGGACCCTCGCTTCAGCAACCCGCCTGCTCGACCTCGTCGCCTGGACCCGCCTTCCCGACCTGCCGGGCCGGCGAAGCTCCGTCTCTCCCTCCGTCCTCCCTCCAGGAGGAGGATGGATCAAGAGGAGGGGAGAGGGAGGGAGGGAGGGAGGGAGGGAGGGAGGGAGGCGGGGGAGTACGAGGAGGAGGTGCGGAGGGAGGCTTCCCCTCCTGGCCTTGGCGGGACCCTGCCGTGGTGTCCACGGCTGCCATCAAAGACGGGGACGAGGCGCCTCCGGCAGGGAGGAGAAGGAGGAGTATGCAGGGATGGAATAATGCAATAGTGTTTGCCGCTGCTGCTGCGGCTGCTGCTGCTGCTGCTGATGATGATCATGATGGTAATGGTGATGGTGATGATGGTGATGCTGATGCTGATGGTGATGGTGATGGTGATGCTGCTGCTGCTGATGATGCTGATGATGATGATGGTGATGATGATGATGCTGATGATGATGCTGATGCTGATGCTACTGATGCTAAGGCTGATGCTACTGATGCTGACGCCGGTTGTGGTGATACTGAGGCTGCTGATGTGGATGTTGTTGATGATGATGCTGATGATGCTCCTGCTGATGCTGCTGCTGATGATGATGGTGTGGATGATTATGCTTAGGATGCTTGCGGGGGTAGTGGTGGTGATAACGATGCTGCTGATGATGATGACGATGATGCTGGGGATTATGATGATGACGGTCCGGTTGCTGCTGCTGTTGCTGATGATGTTGATGCTGAAGATACAGATTATGATGACGCTGATGATGATGATGCGGATGCTGATGATGATGTTGATGTTTATGAAATGATGCCGCTGATGAGGATGATGATGAGGATGATGGTGATGCTGATGTTGATGCTGATGATGCTGATTTTGCTGATGATGATGCTGATAATGGTGATACTGATGCTGCTGATGATGCTGATGATGCTGATGCTGATGATGAGGAGGATGAGGAGGAGGAGGACGTTGATGGCGACGATAAGGCGGAGGAGGAGGATGAGGAACCAGATGATGAACATGATGGCAATGGGAAGAGGATAAGGACAAGGACTAGGCTGAGCACGAGGAGAAGACGGAGGAGGACAATGAGGGAGGACGACGATGATGACAAGGAGGAGGGCGAGAAGGTGGAGGATGACCAGCAGAGGGAGGGGGAGGAGGCGTGCGAGCTAAAGATCGAATGAGCAGGAGGGGAATAACGACGATACCGAGAGCCCTTCCCCATCTATCCCGCAAGAGCCTTTTCAATCACTTCCTATGGTCCTCCTCCCTATCCTCTTAGATCCTCCGCGCTCCTCCCCCTCCTCTGGGAGGGAGACGCGCCTGAGTGTCAGGAAGGGTGTGAGGAGGAGGATCGTGAGGAGCAGGATATTCGATGAGATGAGGAGGGCGGTGGACGAGGTCAGGGGGTCAGGGGGAGGAGGAGAGATGGGTGTGTGTTTGTGGAATATGAAGAGGCGGATGGAGGTCGAGGGGACGAATGGAACGACGACGCCCTTCTTGCTCCGAACCGGTCCCAAGACCCCCCCAGGCATCTCGACCAGTGCCTCGAGCCGAGTCCGGGCGCAGCGTTGGGTCCCCCAGTATGGTCGGGTCGGACAATGGAGGGGCGATCGGACAGTGGGGAGTTACGGAATCTGCTACACGCAGTTGGTTTGGCCCCGCTGCTGGGCGCTTCCCCGACACGATAGCGAAGGGAGGCGACGGGAGGCGCCTGAAAAGCCAGCCGTGTGCACTTGATTTGCTGGACCCCCCCGTGCTATCCCCCTCCTTGCGTTCGCCCCAGCAGGAGTCTCGGACGAGACACCATGAAGGAAACGGGTCCTGAGGCCCTGTCCTTCAGGACCCGCTTCCCTCATGCAGAGGCGAGGGCGACGGCAGCGGCGGCGACGAAGGTTCCGCGTGCTGACTCGCCTGGCAGCAAGTTGGTTTCCGCGTGATTCCAGCCTTGCTTGGGGCACTCTGTCAGCACCATTTCGTGTCAGACAGTTGTGGTTGCTGGGGTCCGAGCCGGGGATTTATCCATATCACCGCCTGTGGGATCGACCTTCGGGGACCTCGGCAGGAAGTGGATTTGGACAGATTCGAGCCTCTGGGGGTAGGGGTAGTCTAATGGCCTTCGGCCCATCCCGTCACCGTGCATGGGCTGTGGGTCACAGGCCTCTAAGATGTTCGTTGGTATGTCGCTGGAGGCCTCTCGGGGACTTCTGGCTTCTTGGGGGTCGTTTTGAGGCCTCTGGGGGGCCGTTTCGGGGCCTCGAGAAGCGTCTTCGGAGCCTCTTGGGGGTATTTCGGGGCCTCCTGGGTGCTTCTCGGGGCCTCTCGGGCCTCTCGGTTCGTGTTCCGCCTCTTGGGCCCTTCGTGGGGCTGTCTTTGGGCCCTCTTGGGTCTTTGGCCGTCCTGGGCGCCTCTGGGGCCGTCTTGGAGCTCTCTTGGGCCGTGTTGGGGCCCTCCTGGGAGCGTCGGGAGCTCGGAGAGTCGAGGACCCCTAAAGTCAGTGGGAACCTGTGGAGCGTCAATGCTTTGGGCCTCTCGGGGCCCTCTTGAGAAGGCTCTTGGAGCTCTCTTGGGGCGTCTTGGAGGCCTCTTGGGACGTCTTGGGACCATCTCGGGCGTCTTCGTGCGGTCGTTCGGCGACTCGGGGCCCTCCTGGACCGTCTTGGGGGCATCATCTTGAGGCCTCTTGGCCCGTAGCCCGGAAAAGTCACGCGAGAAGATGCGAGAAGCCCCCGGGAGCACGCGAGAAGCCCAACAGGATTCGGCATGCTGGGCTCCGGGCCCCTCACAGACTCCCCGGGAGTGTTTCGGGGATTGCAGTATAGTCGGCCCGGATTAGTAGGTCGACCATGGCAGCTCAAGGGTCTAGGCCTCCTAGATGGGATCGGAGTGGATGGGGTCGGAGGATCGCGCCGCATCGCCGATGCATCGGCGATGCGGCTCGATGTGGAGCCCGCCTTGCTCCACGTCGACGTCGCCGATGCACCGCCGATGCCGACGTTGCATCGCCAGTGCATCGCCGATGCATCGCCGATGCATCGCCGATACATCGCCGATGCATCGGCGAAGCGGCGCGATCCACCGACCCCATCTACCCCGACCCCATCTAGGAGGCCTCTAAAGGGTACCCTTGTGTCCTGTGCCTCGCGACACGTGCCTTCTTGCACTCCTATGGCGACGTGGCCCTCGGAAGGGTCTTGTGTCCTCTCGCGTGTCCTGTCCAATCAAGGCCGGCTGCAGGCGAAGGACCTGAGGACACGCCCACTCCGTGCCCAGCGGCACGGTGGCGGATATGTCCTCATCCACCGCCTGCCGAGGTCCCCGAAGATCGATGCCCAGGGGGTGCTTGTGGACAGATCCCCGCTGCGCATTGGGAGAGTGTGTCCTCATCCACCGCCTGCCGAGGTCCCCGAAGATCGATGCCCAGGGGGTGCCTGTGGATAGATCCCCGCTGCGCACTGGGAGCGTGGGAAGGCGGCGGCGGCGACCGAAGGTGCTGGTGGACTACCGCCTCGGCGAGCGCCGCGGGGGAGCCCGGGCCGATCTGCCCGCCTGGTACGCCCCGGTGGCCAGGTAGAGGCGGCCACTCGCGGCGGAAAGTCCCAGCGGCTCGTCGTCGTGGTCGTGGTCTTGGTCATATTCGTAGTCGCGGTTGTCGTCGTCGTCGTCGTCGTCGTCGTCGTCGTCGTCGTCGTCGTCGTCGCGGTCGTCGTCGTCGTCGTCGTCGTCGTCGTCGTCGTCGTCGTCGTCGTCGTCGTCGTCGTCGTCGTCGTGGTGGGCGTCGTGGTGGGCGTCGTGGTAGTCGTCGTGGTCGTCGTCACCGTGGCCGTAATCGTGGTGGGCGTCGTGGTAGACTTCGTGGTGGTGGTCGTCATCGTCCTCCTCGTCCTCCTCGAGCCCCTCTAGTCTTCGTCCTCGTCCTTCTCGTCCTCCTCCTCCCCCTCGTCCTCGTTCTTGTCGTCGTCGTCATCCTTCTTCGTCCTCGTCGTCGTCGCTGCCCCCACCCTCCTCCTTCTCCTCCCCCCCCTCCCCTTTCTGCGCCACGGGCTCTCGGAGCACGGGGACCCGGGACCTTTCGTAATCCTTCTTCTTTCGTTGTGAAGGGATCCCAGCTCTGGGGCCCTTGTCGTGAAGGAGTGTGGCGTCGGAGGCCTGGGAGCGCAAGAGCAGGCATTCAAGACTGCACGCTACACTCGGCGAGGAAGGGCTCTGCACGAACGCCAGGCGTGGGGGGGCAAAACGCTGGGAGTTGGGCGCGGTGCTCTCCAAAGCCAGGACACGGCGGGCCCGAACGGCGCAGGTCGACCCCACTCTTCCCTCCTCCTCCTCCTCCTCCTCCTCCTTCTCCTCCTCCTCCTCCTCCTCCTCCTCCTCCTCCTCCTCCTCCTCCTCCTCCTCCCCCTGCTTCTTCTGCCTTCTCTCCGCTGCGGCTTTGGTGGCGGGATCTGCCTGCGGAGGCCCGGCGAGGTGGTGGGCATGCGGGCACTTTTTGCTCCAGAGGCAAGGTGTCCTCCACCTTCACTTCCTCCCTCAGCGGAGCTCTCACTTCTCCCTCCCTCTCCTTCTTCGTAGCCATGTTCGCTCAAGCCTTCCGGCTCAAGCCGTTTTACCCACTGCTGACTGTCGGCCGCCAATGCTGGGTTCCTTGCCGTTCCTCTCGGCTTCATTCACGCACTCGTCGCCCTCCCCCGCCTGCGCCTTTCCCTGGGCCCTGCTGGTTGGCGCCTCGTTGACCGCTGCCCTGGGCGTTGCCACTGTGGCCGCGGTCCAGCTTGGGCGCGGCAGCGGCAGATGGCGCTGGCGGCGGCGCACGCGGTGTGGTGCAAGCGCCCCCCTTGTGTTCGAGACGTGCGAGGCTTTCCGGGTACGTTCTTCAGAGGGGCTGCGCTACAAGGTCACCGTCTCCCTGCCGCTAGGCTATGACAGGCCAGAGGAGGCTGGCCTCCGCTATCCGGTCGTGCTCGCGCTGGACGCGGAGCCGTACCTGTTCCCGCTGCTCGCCACGGCGGCGCGCACCAACCACTTCTTCAAGCGCTCGTCGTGGTACCCAGATCGGAGGAGTGCCCGCTGAGACGACGGCGAGAAGCGGTACCCAGACTCCTCCCGGACCTCATCCCGGCTTGCTCTCCGACGCGGGCCCCGCCGTGGCCACGAGGAGCCCCCAGCAGGCCCCACCAGGGACGAGCCTTGCCCGGAGGGGCCGCCACCGTCTCGACTGGCCCTCCTCCGACCAGACCTGATCGTGGTCGGGGTCTGCGCCGACCTGGAGCGCGGCTTCCGCGGCAGCAGGGGTGCCCTCGACGTGCGCGGGCTGTGGGACGCCCTGCGGCCCACGCGCGCGCGCGACTACCTCCCGACGGCGGCGGAGAGCCCCTGGGGCGCGCCCGGCGCGGAGCCGCTGCTCCATTCGGGGGAGGAAGCGAGGTGACCACGACCAAGATGTCGCGGGGGATCTTGGCGACGCCGATCTTGGCCATGTTCCGTGCCGGCCGCCGCCGATCCGCAAGGCTGATCCACGAGCTGACGATGACCGAGGTTGGCGATGACCAAGGTCCGACGCCGACGTTTGCGCGCCCAGTCTTGGTTGTGGTCCTCGTTTTGTTTCCCTCCATGCATGTGTCTGGCCACGCGACCACGTTCGTGCGGTTCCTTGCGTCGTCTCTGGCAGGGCCTCGGGCTGCGCGCAGTGCGGTGGTGCCCGCTCCAACGGGCCCCCGCAGAGCAGCTCGGAGCGGCCTCGGCACTGCAACCCCCGTGCGCTCCGAACTGCGGTCGGGAACTGATGCTTAGCGTGTCGTGCCTACGCGCTAACCGCGCCCTGGTCCCCAAGCGTCGGCGTCCCGAGCTTGTCACAGCCTCCCGCCACGCGGAGCGGAGCGACACGCTATCCGCTTGCAGGGCGCAGCGTGATGCCGGGGCCGCCGTCGCGTCACGCTGAGCAGAAGTCCAGGGGCTGTCTTCATGGCTGCACATAGGAGTGACCCTTTGCTGGAGTGGTCCATAGGTGCGGCCCCGACGGGGCCCCCCCGGGTCGTTGAGTGTGATGCGATGGCAACGGCTTGCGTGTCTTGGGCTGGGCCTCCCTCGCCCCTTGAGAGCCGCGCGCGGCACGTCACTCTTGCATAGGGGCCGCGCTTGCGTGCAGCAGATGCCTGTTCGCACCCCCCAGCCCTGCCAGTCGTCCCTGATCCCGCTCATCGACAGCAAGTACCGGACGTCGAAGGGGGATAGGGCCCTCGTCGGCAAGTCTTTCGGCGGCAGCGCTGTCTTGCACGCCATGCTGGACCAGGAGTGCTCTCCGCTGTTCAGCCACTACCTCCTGGGCTCGCCGTCCATCTCCTGGGACGACCGTGCCTTCTTCCGGCTCGAGGAGGAGTCCCACAAGTCCAGGAGGCCCCTCTCTGCCGCGGTGTACTACGCCGTCGGCGGCAGAGAGCCCAGCCAGCCCGGCAGCGCGAGGGACTTTGAGCGGGTTTTGTGCAGCCGCGGCTACCCGGACCTGAGCATCACGGTGGACGTGGTGGAGGGCGAGGACCACGGCTCGCTGTCCTACCCCTTTGTGTGCCGGGGCCTCAACTGGCTTGCGGCGTCGCTGGCGCGGTCCCGCGCGTGACGCCGGAATGCTGGGCAGCCCGCCCAGGCTGCCGGGGAGTCGCTGCCCGCCGTGCGCAGGGCGCGTGGCGGTGCGAGTGCGGTCTGTTCCTCCCTCCTTCTGCGTCCTTCTCCCTCCTTCTCGGCCCCCCATCCTTCTCCCTCCTTCTCCCTCCTTCTCCCTCCTCCATCCTTCTCCGTCCTTCTCAGTGGCCCCCCTCGGCGGGCCCTCTCGGTGGCCCCCCATCGGTGGCCGCCCTCTGTGGCACTCTCGGTGGCCCCCCCCCCTTGGACGCCCAGACCATTGTATAGCTGCAGAAGCCGCTGCCACCCGAGACTACATGAGGCCTTCTCCTTCTTCTCCTCCTCCTCCTCCTCCTCCTCCTCCTCCTCCTCCTGCCTCCGCCTCCACGGCTTCCTCCTCCCACCCCTCTTCCTCCTCTTCCTCCTGCCCCACCTCCTGTTTCTCCCCTAGTGGGTCTTGTGGCGGCACGAATCTCGCTCCATACGGAGCCCCGTGTGCAGATCACGATTCCCGGTGAAGTGTCCGACCCTATTTCGCGGACCAGAGGTTCTCATATAGGTGCCTCCTCAGCCTGTATTTGCGCTCGCGTGTCGGCGGAGGATGGGCTTGACAATGCGAGGGGAGTTTGGGTGGCGAAGGAGACGGGACTGACGCTCAAGTCTGTTTGTCTCACGTTTGTCTTCTTGGTCCGGCAACCTTTTCATTTTCGCCAGCTCTGCCGAGACACACGTTACACATCTAAGTATCATCGAGATGTGTGCTGTGTGCTTCGCCAGCGGCTTACCCCGACAGCGAGTATAGGGACGGTTGCGGGAGAGTCTTGTCCAGGACGTCCTCCACCTGGGTGCTGGGTCCGACCAGTTCCGCCATAGGCTTGATCTCCGATTACCTCAACATGACCTGGGAGGCCATCAGGAATGTGCTCTAGAAAACAAGCCGTTTCTGTATATGGCCATTTCGATTGATAGGCGATGCGCGAAGTTCGACTCGATCGTGATGGGCATACTCCGCTTTCGCTCGGCCGCGCGGATCCCGAGTCAGGCAGCTACTCGTTTCCTGGATGCGAATCGAAACAGTTCGAAGGTCTTGATGTGGATGCTGAGGCTTACGAGGTTACTACATGCAGAAGCCAGGGCTTTCTCTATTAGGCGTGCGCGTAGTATTCAGGGGCTCGTACAGGTGCAGTGGGCTCGTATTTTCTTCCAGTCTGTCCTCTCCTGGTTGCCCCACCTCCAGAGGCACGAGAACTCACTAGTACATCATTGTTTTGTGGAACAGGGAGCGGACTGGATAGTCAGCCAGCGCCGCCAATGGATTCCCCAAATCAGCTGGCGCAGTGAGACTTTCACTCGTAGTGCGAGAAGCAGGGCGGTTCGCTGGGACAACGGGTGGGCTAAGACGTTCGACCTTGGAGGCTCCAGAGATCCACACCGCTTGCATGCCCTCTCTCCGCCTCCTGTCTCACCTCAGTGGCAAGGATCAGGCTCCCGCGCGCTCAGTTTTCAGCCTCACGGGATAGTCAGGGATCCGGTTTAGGGAGCGCCTCACTCACCCCCCTCCGCCCACTCACTCCCACCCCTCAGGTCTTGCGCCCACCAGGAAACAAAACCGAAGCTCCGACAAAATATTTTTGCATTTTTTTGAAATTTGTTTTGGTGGCGCCGAAGGAAGGGGTGACCCCTCCTTCCTCGGGAGCGGCCCGTGGGGCCGCGCCGTCGCCGCCGGGGACAGACTCCACGACAGGCGGGACCCCCGCCGATCGACCCTGCTGGCGGTGGAATAAGGGAGTGCCATCTACAGATTGTGTTCACGTCGTCTGGTGTCTGCCTGGTCCTCTGATGGGCCCGGCCAGGGGCAGTGGATATGTGTCTGTGTAGATCTCGTCGCCCCGGCGGGGCGGCGGGCGCCGCGCCCGTCCTCCCCGCGGCCTCCCGCGGCGCCGAGGCCTCCTGCCAGGGCTCGCGCCGGCGTGCGCGCCGATGTGGGCGCGCCTCCCCGCGCGCACTCACGGGCCGCGCCGCGCGCGATGCCTCCCGGGCCGGCCGCCCGCGCGCTGGCCCTCGCGGCGCTGCTGAGGCGCGGGGCCCCAGGTCAAGGGAGGAAAGACCACCCGGACCCGACAGTCGACGTTCACTGCACGGCCCTGGGCGTTGGCTAGAGCGAGCCCTGCCCTGTTCGACGCCTTCCTCGGGTGCGTGAGCTATAAGCGGCTTCGCTTGTGGGGGTGATTATCATGGGGTGGATTTTCTGCCTCCGCACCCGCGACCCACCCGCGACCCAACAACGACCCGCCCGCGACCCACCCGCGACCCATTTGTGACCGACCCGCGATCCACCCGCGGCGTACGGGGGTGGGAATGTCTGCCCTCTGCCAGGAGCGGCGGCCTTCGCGGCGTCGGGCCCGGCAGCGCCACGAGGCCTGGCCTGCGCCCGCGGGGCCCCCCCCCGCAGCCGCGCCGGGCGGCCTGCCGGGGCCGCGCGCCCGCGGGGCCCCGCGGCGGGGCGCAGGGCTCCCCGCCGCGCCGGGCCAGACGCGGAGGGCGTCGGCGGCTCCTCTCGGGGGCTGCCAGCGGTGGTCGGCCAGGTGGGCAGGCTCCTCCTCCTCCTCCTCCTCCTCCTCCTCCTCATCCTCCTCCTCCTCCTCCCCTCCACTCTTCCCCTCCCCTTGCTCCTCCTTGTCCTCCTCCTCGTCCTCCTCCTCCTCCTTCTCCTCCTCCTCCTCCTCCTCCTCCTCCTCCTCCTGCGCACTGACGGCAACGCGGCGGTCTGTCCGCCGTAGCCGCAGCGCGCGCCCGCACCCGCGGCCGCGCGCTGTGGGCGCGCCCAGATTTGTACCGAGCACGCGCATCGTGACCTATTTCCCACCCTCTAACTCAGCGGGGTGGCTGAGGCAGAAGGTGGGAGCCTCGGGAAACAGCCTCTGGACCCAAGACCCCGCCAAGGAACAGGAAGGAAACCAAGGAAGCCTCATTGGGCCACGAGGAGGGGGAAAGGAGGCGGGGCCCGAGGGGCCGAAGGACAAAATACCAAAGCCTAGGTCACTTAGCCCCCCGACCACCACCTCCATAGTTGAAGACGATCTCCATCTCGCGCATTCGCCGCGGAGGTGATAGTGTGGGGGCCAAATTATAGTGCACGAGTGTGCCCCCCCCCCAACAGGAGAGAGCCAGGCGGCAAACATAAAGAGAGAGAGAGAGAGAGAGGAAGGAACGTGGGGGGGGGCCCACAAACTACTACGAGGCGGCCGAGCCCCCAGGGAACCCGAGGGAGGGACAAGGGTCAAGGCCACCAGTGGGCTCATGAGGACGGGGAGGCTAGGGAACCTGGGGTTGCTCGGCCCCCTATCATCGGCCCCCGCGGGGCCAGGTTTCAGACGTAGAGGTCAGCCTCATCCCCCTCGCGGCCGCCTGCGCCCCCCAGGGTATCCTTGGGGGCCGGCACGCTCGCCGCCGGGGGGGCGTTCACGACCCTGTACTGCGTGGGGCTGGTGTCTTTGTTGGGCATGTGCGTGGCGCTGCCGTAGGGGTCCTTCACGCGCCCGTCGCATGGGCGAGGGCCCAGGCCGAGGTGGCCTGCTGCTCCGCTCTCGCTGTTGTTGTTTCCTTCTTTGGACTGACCCTGCCCCCCGCCCTTCGGCGCCAGCGGCGCTGCGGGGGTACAGGGGGCTGTCACCACCCTTCAGCGCCACGCGCTGTGGTGACAAGCCGTTGTGGTCCTCCTCCTCGTCTGTGTTGATCTTCGCCACTGTCGCGTTGTGGTTGCCGTCGAAGAGGCACTGGTCGTGGTTGTGGTCGTATTCGACGTCATGGTAGTTCTGGGAGTAGCCGTCGTTTCTACCATGCTGGGACCTGTGCTGTCTGGCTCCTGAAGCAGTGTATGGCGACGCCCGCTTGGCGCTGGTACCCTCTGGGAGTGTCGTATCCTGATGTTGGGTTGGCTGCTCATGCTCGCTTTCTACATGGTAGCGGTCATAGTATGTCATGAATTCAGTTATATTGCCTGTCCGGTGTGCGTCGTTGTTGCTGCTTTCGCGTGCTGCTGCCATGATTCGTGTAGTGTCGTCGTCAGCGTCGCTGGTGTGTCGTTGTCGCGTCGCTGGTGATCGTGTGGTCGGTCACGGTGACAAGGTTGTGGCTCTTCAAGTGTTGCAGTTCGTGGGGGGCGGTGGTCGAGATAGGTCCGATGTTCATCCAGCAGGCCGTGTCGTTGGCGATACACGTGTACATGAGGAAAATAGCGTCACATATCTTCGCGTTGTCGTCCATGATGGTATTCGAGTCTTTTCTGCCGGAGTCTCTTCTTCCCCACGAGTGTTGCTCATCACGAAGTCGTTTGCTGTTGTCGAGGCTCAGTATGGACTTCTTGTAGTAAATGGCGTCGATTGTGCCATTCCGTATAGCTTCGTGAATAGCGTTGTTAGTGTAGTCAGGACTTCTGTCGTTATCCGTCTGACTCGTGTGGTTCTCTACAGTAGATATGCGTACTCGTCGTTGTTGTAGGTTTGCTTGCTGCTCGAAGCCGTTGACGATGCGCATAGTATCTTCACTGGTGGCATTCTGGTCGGTGACGATCATAATCATCGAAATCCGATGTGGCCTGACGTTGTCTGCCTCCAATGTATCACCGTCAGTTGTGTCGTGCCGTACGTGGCGTAGACGACTCTCGAGTGTCTGGGCTCCTTCCGTCTGTCCTCGTCGCTCGTCCTGCTCTTCATCTGCTTGCGGTAACAGGGGAATTGGTGCAGGAATCATCGCTGTATGTTCGTCGTCAGTGCCTGTTCGTTGTGCAAGTGGTGGTCCGTAGAGTTGTAGGCACGGGCGTTCTGCGTAATCTTCGGGTAGTCCTTTGTTTTTGTTTGTTCGTCGTATGTGCCTTATCTCTTCGTATAGGTCGCTGGCTTCGTCGTCGTCGAGTCTCCTCCTCCTCCTCCTCCCTCCTCCTCTCACTTTCCCCTCCCCCTCCTCCCCCTCCTCCTCTTCCTCCTCAGACGGCGCTGT